CTGCATGGAATCAAGTTAGCTATGACTTGTAACGGAGGGGTGTAATCTCTTGCAATCGGTGTAGTAGTATACCACTCCTGGTTGGCTAAACTTGGAATACTAAACAGCCGAAATTCTCGCACGAAAGAGCTGCCGAAAAAAAATCTAGCAACTCACCCGACTTCGAACTATAATGAGGAATGCCCAGTAGATTTTTTTAAATATGTTGTGTACATCCCTCATTTTCAGGTTTCCTCCATCAGCAGAAGTCTCCTGCTCTTCCAACTGATCAGAGTAGAGTTTCGAAACGAGGATATCTTGCAAAATGGAGTTGAGCAATCGTAGATACGGAATGTAAATGGTAGGGTAATTGAAATTGGGTGTGAGCAGATAAGTCTTGATCATTTCGGTGATGAGCATGTCTCGATAACAACGAGCCAAAGCCATTAGAACACTGTGACCCAGCCTCACGTCAAGTTTCGTTGAAGATCGTGAGCTAGCAGTGTCTATGACGACTGTTGAGTCCAGAATTTGTAGAAGACTGTCCACCAGTGGACGAGCGAACTGTTGGATCATTCAAAAAGCGAAATGAGAAAATTAGACAGGAAGGATAGAAAAAATGCCAGAATGCAATCGAAGACTACTTGATTTACTCTTAAAATTAGGATCATCTGAAGGACTTGATCGGAGTAGTCCGTTTTGAGGCAGATCCACGTCAGACTAAGTATCTAGTTTTATGGGGTAACCAAAAGGCTCTGGGGTCGAATAATATTCGATTTTATTTGCTTCTATTTTAGACTAGTTCCCATTTGATTTGATTTGAAATAGAACTCTACCACAAAGGGTAATAAAACTGAAATGTTACCAGGACCCTGAATGCCTCAATAACTGGAGCAGGTACAATGCAACTATTTCCGTGTCCCTTAAAACTGTCGTCCACTGGTTCACCTCCATTTGAGCCATATACTTGATTATCCCCGGACTTACCGTTCCATAAAGAAAAAGATTCGCTCAGCTGTAACATCTTTGAGGTGCCATACCACCCCAAGTAAGCAAGAGGGCTGGGATACTGCCAGGTTGCCCAAATCCAGACAGCTGAAGTCGAGACGCAGAGGTCGGTTTCGAAACACGGACCTTTCGGTCAGTAAATTCGCGCTCTAATCACTGAGCCATCTCGCTCCCCATCGCATAAAGAACGTTATCTACGACACAGTAGGAAATCCAAAATCCTTAGTAAATCCGTAGTGGTACAATGGCTCATTGTCACACCACCTAACTCACATAACCGGTGATTGAACGCAACCCGACGGCAGTAGGATTAGCCCTTATTTCATGATTACGTATGCCGATGCAGTGTACGGTCAGGGTACCAAAGTTCACTAAGCTATACTGAAATATAGACAATTCGATAACCCCACACGCTTAAATTGTGAGAATGATAGGCTTGAATCGACACTGAATGGAGAACCTACTTGGTATTTATTCTGGAAATGGCTATTGATTTATTTCACAGCCTATTAGACACGAGCCGCCTATAATACTTGCGTAATAGTAATACTGCTGAAAGGAAGAAAGCCTTCGCAGCGGAGTCATTCGTCGGAAAACACAAACGGAACGGTTGCAGACTATTGGACAGGGAAGCAAAACCCTCATTTGCATCTTATTCACAAAAACTACTTATCCGTCTTCTTCTCGAACAGGTTTTCCTGAAATTTCCCTGGATGCTCATGGACTATCACTCAAACCTAAACGAATGCTGCAAAGCGATCCCACAAATTCCGTAATAAATCTCATTTTTCAATGAACGCGAAGCGGACTTACGAGAAAACCACATCCTACTCGCATGCTCTATCAGTAGTATCCACCGCTACACAAGTATATATATAAGTAATGCTTTGCGTGATACCTTGAGGCATGAAAGGAGCATACTGATTCACTATACTCATGTGCGCCAACCGGGATGCACATGATCTAGGAATGTACCCTAAAAATAGCCTGTTAAAATCTACTGCACTTTTGTTGACTATATGGTGCAACCGACAGTCGTTAACAGCATTGCACCATTCTACAGCGGTATCCTAGAACGTCCCTTAGAGGGACGGAGACACGATATTCCTAATAAGGACGTTGGCTATTACACTGGATTATCAGTCACAAAAATGGACTCATCCTAGGCTAAAGTGTTCCTACATTTGGCCAGAATCACTGCGGCTCATGGTTCATAGCACATCCTATAAATTTTCTGTTTTAGACATGATCCAAGCGATCATACCTTCATACGGAAGATGCAGTTTTAGAGTCCACTTGGTGAAGAATGCAAATCGGGGGTAACCAGTAAACCTGAGATTGGCTTTTAAAAATCCAGGCTCATCATGACTATGTAAAAATTGGCTGCTTGTCAAACGGCGTTTGCATTTTGAGGTCTCTGTTGGGCAGGAGTACCAAAAGTATCAACAGTTCTCCGTCCCTCTCTTGACAATTCCACGACAAAGCTCACACAAACGAGTCGAATTGGTCTCTCTAGGGAGAGGGGTCCCGATTCCGATGGATAAATTAAGGTGACCACAGTGTAACGTCAATTAATACAATTGTTGCCTTATAAAATAAGGAGTGACTGCATAATCTGGCTTTGTCGCGTTCCGCATATCCGAACAGTCTACTCTTGGAAACTCAGAAACCCAGCGTGCAGTTTGAACCTATCGAAGCAGACAGATGTCCCTCTGTCCACGCTCACGCACATAAGGTTTGACTCATTAATACACACAGACCTATACGCACCTACTTTTTCCCGTTCAGTTGATGATCGGCAGGTGGAAACAAGTCTTGATGTGCCAACTTAAAGAAGTGTGATTTGTAATTTTTCCCATAGAGAAAGCCAAAAACCCAAACTGGTCTCATCTGAAAAATGGTTCTTCAATCTAAAAAAATGCATGCACAAGGAGCAATATACCCAGGTAAGAAGTGGCATTTTATTCCCCTAGAAATGGGAGAAGATGCACGTCAGGACACCTTCTGTCCCAATCTGATGTTGTAGGTTCGAATGGACTTACCTTTCGGAGCTCAGCATCTTTCCATGCCAGATAAATACCTTGGCGTAAGGACATATGTAGGTCTTCTTGGTATCTGCGCCAAAATATGACTTTGGTTAAGTGTTCTTTGAAGAAAGGGTAGAGAAGGGGACATGCGGTTAAGCAGGACGCGGCCATGCAGAAGCAAGGGAGGGGATTTGACGCGTTAAACGTCAGGAAAGTAAAATACATGAAGAGGGTATTCGAATGACAATCACCAAACTTCGTGATGTGGTCCACATGCCTGATAGTGTTTTAGCTTCATTCCGCCTCTGACAAAAGTTCGTTTCGGTTAAACACCAAGAAGCTTCAAGCCCGTTGCTAAAACCTTTCACCGTATCAGTACCAAACATGTATACAACATGTATACAACTATTCGGTTGCTCCAACTCTACTGCACTAAAATATAACTTATGTCCAGCATGCTATGATATCATTCGTTGTGAATGTGATGGAACATCCGGTTGGTGAAATAAACCAATTTGCAAAATAAGTTGGTGTTGCGGGGGGACTCAACCGAATCCTAGCTAAATCAATCGTTTGTGGGATACACCACAATCAAGTTGAAGAACTTCATAAAGCATAGATTTGCCTGGGATTCGGTCGAACTTGCAGATGAGTGTATCTCGTCAGTCGCGTACAACTTGGTGTTCACACTGATAGAAACTAGGGGACTACGCCTACCAGATGAGCCCATATAAGGGTGAAACCGGCAAGTGAATTGTCGAAGAGTTTTCAGAAACATAAAGACAGTGTGTTATGGCAAGAGAAACGGCTGTTTGTCACCATTTGCAGGGGACAGGTTGGAAACTAAAACGTTCAGATTCAAATTCATTCTGGGACGATAGGACACAGCGTCAGTTCGGATTTAAACTAAGTGGACTCTGGTTCATCTCACGATTCCAGACAGACACCCAGAGGAGACAGAAAACGAAAACAACGACAGAGTACACCTCGTCGATTGGTTGACTCTACCGCATACGACCGTATTCAAAATAAAACGGTGGAATACCCTCTTACTTATAAACTTCCAGTAGAAGCGAACACAAGCTGTTTTTGAATGATGAACTGTGGACCGCACTTCAAACACACTGTCCATGAGCCAACTTCCTATATTCCTGGGATTATTTTTGTACAAGTTAACAGCGCTGGCCTGATTGTCTAAATCCGAATGCTAAACCAAAAGTCTTCCATGAGAAACAGGTGGGTATTTTGGTGGCACCGAAGAAATAGCAGTGGACATAAGCAGGGACAATGGTAGTAAAAATCAGTATCGGTTAGTGAAAGTGTCACGCAGTTCTGCCGGACCCCTGAAGAGCAAAACTGCGTTCGGAAAGAACTTCCGTTAAAGCTGGAGACTGGAATTTGGGTGCGTAGACAATATTTTACTCACGAGTTTGGTAAAATACTGTTGTGATTGAGGACAGGCACCTAGAGCTATTCACTTTGTGAAAGACCATCTCAAAGTGATCTCCTCCCCCCTCCCGAAAGGGGGAGGGGTAACTGTAGCTGCACGTGTATCAAAAGCATCCGAATGCCAGTCATGAAACAGTGAGTCGCAGAGTAGAAACTGGAGCAATGGACAAAATACCGTGAGAAGACACCAGAAGCCACCAACCCTATTGCAAGACATTGGATTAGAGTGGAAACTGTTCAGGAACTTTCAAGAAAGAGACCGACGACTATGACCAACTGAATAGAACACCTTTCGGATGATCAAAATTCATTAATGTAAGGTTAACCGGGGAAAAATCGGTCAAACGTGAAAAAAAACGGACACTGACTTGGCTGAATAAGACTAATCACATGGGATGGTGAATCGTGCAAGTGATCGCACAACTTAGAGAACAGAGTATTACGGAGAGCGAGAGAGGAGACGTACCACGGGGAACGCGCAACAGCCAATATAAAAGTGAACGGTTATGTGCACACTTACCATCCGTCGTGTGTTCACTGCTACAAACACAGGTCTCAATTGTCAATATTCCGGAGCATTGTTTGGGCACAGCTGTCGAAGAGAACCCTTGCGAACTGGAACTGCTACTGCCACAAGCTCCAGGACCAGAGGTGTAGGAGGTCTCACGTAGATAGGCACAAGATTCGATTTGGTTCAGGTCCATCTGTAAACAAGTGGTAGGGTGTCTCACGCAAATGTGGTTATGTATTTCGCTTGCTCTACCAAGAACAAATTGGAGAAACGGGAGAGGAAACAACCTTGGCTTCTTGACTTAACGAAGAGTCGATAAGTCAGATAACTGGTCCTTTCATACAGTAGAGGGGATATAAGACAGGACTGACAGTACAAACTAGAAGCAACTAAGTGAAGAGACCTATGTTTAATTGCAACAGTTCGTCCCTCAAAACGTGGTTTAAGGTCCCCAAACCTAGAGAGTTTATTGCTTCATGGCAGTGATGCAGAGGCTCAGATGAACGGGATGGAAACAGTTCAAACGGGTAGAGTTTAAAAGCGCCATGAATCAGGATTTCAAACATATACACCACTCATAGTACTGGCAGGATAGTTGTTTGTCAGAATTGAAGTCTAAGTTACTATAGCATTATTGTGTGGCTGCGAAATCTGAACTGTCGGACAACTAGACACGCGTGGATTTAGGAGATGCATAATCACGTTCCAGTCACTGTTACGCTGGTCTATGTGGTGCTTCGAATGTTCTTTCAACGTTGCAACTGCGGGTTGAACATGTTGGGTTAGGCAATTATTCGATTTGGTGGGTGTGCGAGACCAGAGTCTGTCGCCGTTCGGGATAGTTTTCAAAGGGTGAAGAATGTTAATAGCTGGAGGCGTTTTCGGAAAATGGTAACTGTGATGTTCAGTTCGAAATAAAGCTGGTAGTATTTGCAGTGACTCCAAAAGGCATCCCGATTCACCGACCTTTATTGTGCCATCAGGGAGTGGACCTGTACTAATTGCGGACTGTCAAACAACCATTCTATTCCCATGGGCCAGAATAATGAATAAAACCTGCTTCCTCCTGGACCTTTTCATATTCACGATGAACAAAACGAATCAGGTTAGAACGAGGGAACAGATAACAACTCACATTGTGCACCAACAGCTGATACGGCCCGTCGGCCAGAAGAACAGGAATCGCGGTACTCGGTTGGAGACGCAGGAATGCCACACCAAGAAGTTTATCTCTTGATTCTGGAAACAGAATTGAGA